ATCTACTTTTCTTGTACAACAGCATCATGAATTCATCTGAATCGGTTTCCATTCAGTAGGAGAACGTTTGTATTTTCCAGATTCCAACAGATAGCAGACAGTGAAGGCAGCCATGCTCACTGTCCACTTGAGTCTTTGACTACATCCTCATTCTGTGGTAGACTGAGCAGCTCCTGGATCCTCTGCATGTCCTTATTGGTTTCCTCCACCTGAGAGCTCACATTCAAGTTGGAAATCAGCTCATCCGTCAACTGCAAACGGGCTGTCCTTTTATTGGAAACACAAGCTCTGATTAACCAAGAAGCATCAGGATAAAATGACACTTTGTATTTATTTCTGATAGATCTTACCATTCTGCAAGCTTGTGCTCATACAGTTCCCTGCGCTCTCTCCTGCGCCTCTCTCGGATCGTCTCTCCAGTCAGGGACTGCAAGGCAATGACCAGAGCACCAACCGGAATCCTGTGTAGAAGTCAGTGTGTATCACTGTAACTGTGATGCACACCTTTACACTTTTACACAGATCAGTCCATCAGATAGTCTATGTTGTATAACATAAAACATATCAGATGCCTGTTCAATGGAAGCATCGACACTGTAATAACTTCCTTAAACAGTTTCTACAGCTGCTGCGGCCCAGCTTCTCCGAACCCTCCGCACTTTCCACTCACACCTCTACGACATGAATAAGGAAACCATAATGGTTAAAGATCTGGAGCGTGATGTGCTTTGCAATTAGCTGCCTGCTTTCATGCCGCCCCTTCTGCCCCAGCTACACCTGGCGTAGCCGTGGCTGGAGCCATTTGCGCACATCAAATGCTCCAGGTGGCTGGCCACTGAAGCAGACAGTGAGAGGAAGAGGAGGAGGGAGCAGTGCTAGTGGAGGGCCAACTGGAAGTATGGCTAAGCCATTATGGAGTTGACCACAGGGATGATCCAAACTAGACCCTCCTCTGTTACACCATCAAAGGCAACACACTCAATTTGCAGTTATACAATCTGCATTTAGCTCTGTGCGCTCAGCTGAAAGGACGAGCGAGGCTAAAGTGGGCCAGGGTGTGAAGATGAGACAGAGGATGAAGCACCTCCAAGTCTACATCAGACCACGGTAGAAGGACACAAGAGGCTGGAATAACACCAATGGTATGAAAGGAGAAGGGCAGCTGCTGCCTTGGCCCGTCTCCTTGGTTCAGTACCCAAAACACTGTCCTCTGTGGTACATGAGTCCCTCTGGCACCACGAGCAGACTTGGAAGGGAGTGGGGAGGAGGAGGAGGGGGGAGGTTCAGCTGGGTGACAGAGGGTTGCTGGGAGGGGCGCAGCTGGCTGCCAGAGTGCTCACTGACTTCGAGCACACAGGCATGAATGTAAATACACACACACACACACGAGAAGGCATGCATGCATGTCAAAAAGTAAATACACAGCATCTGATAATAGAAGTCAGCTCAGTACCGAGGACTGAGCATGTTCCATTACATCAGATGGAAAAAAGTTCAACATGCACTGTTGGGACTGGAAGTCAAAGAATTCTTGTAGAAGCAGAAGCCAGCCTTACCCCAGCACTGCTCCGATGACCGAGCCCGCTACCAGCCCTCTCAGGCCCAGGTTCAGTCTGAAAAGGCCTACAGTCACAGCTGCTCACATACAGAGTTTCATCATTTCAATGTGCAGGAATTTGTACTGGACATGTTGAAAGAACACTTTTATTGTCAAGCAATAATTAAACATAGATTCTGGATGTAACTGAACAGGCATTTCACATTTTAATATCATCACATACGGTCCTATTTTAATGGGCATTTATTATAGAAATAACTGAAAACAATCAGAGTTGGAACTACAACCTGCAGGCGCCCTGATCAGATCACGTGACTCACCTCCAGCTGCAACATACTGGCTGACTGCGTCTTTGTCTTGGTACACGGAGAGTCCCGTGCTCACAGAACTACACAGGGAGAGGAAACACACACGATGTTGAGTCAGTGAGGCCAAAACAAACTGACCGAGGTATGCTAGCAATGTTAAAGCGCTCACATCCAATAAACATCTGCACATTGTTTATGTGACATTCAGCATTCTGTGCATTCTCCTGTTATTAATACTCCAGATCCACAAGCTGATTTGAGCCCTTGTAAAAGTAACACTACACACACTTTCCTCACATGCTCCACCTGTTTTTTTGTTTTTGTTTACCTGAACAAGGTAACTATCACAGCCACTCTCCAGCTCCATCTCCATCCATATCTTATAAACCCCCGGATAGCTGCATTGTGTGCTGAGCGCTGACAGACAGAACAGGCACAGACAGACTTTTATTTGCAGCATTATTCTCAATGCTCCACTTCAGACCACTAAATAATAATTCAATAAAATCAGAAACTATGACATCACAATATTAAAGCTGAACACGAACATCATTCATGGAACATTTGCACCCAAAACCACAGCAGATATGGTTTTAAAGGCACAGATTTCACTTACCACTGCGTCCACACGATTAGTGTATAATTCTGCCTGGCTGACTTGGATATATCTCTCCCTGGCGTGGCGAGCTGCTGGCAAGCCCCCATAGACAAAGCCTGCAAGTGCACCGAGAGCACCGCTGTTTACAACATTGGTGATCTCCTCTGGGTATTTCTGAGTCACACTAAACAGGGACGAGAATGTTCCTTGTAAGTTTAAAGCCAGTAATGAGTGAACTTGTTACATTAGAAGCCATTAGAGCAAAAAGCCATTAAAACTAAAGGATGCTGCAAGTTTAGTTAAATAATCTTAACTCATCAACTACATGATTCACGATGAATTTGACACCACAGTGTCTACATATACACAAAGACCTTTTCAAAAACACCAAAACACCAACAAGTGAAACAATGTAACAAGAAAACTAACTCTCTGTCAAAGAGATCTTTGATGCGCTCCCATCCCGTGCTCGGGAATTCTGGCTTCCCGATGTTTTTCGGGAGGCTGCTGGATGAAGGGATAGCTACAGGAGCAGTACTGGTGAAGGAAGAGGATGATGATGATGAGGAGGAAGAGGGCATCTGTGCAGCAGCCACATCAGCTGCGTGAACCCTGGGGAGCAGAAAGCAGAAGAAAGGAGGCCTGGCACGCTGGATGAAGCCCTGCAGTTGGCCGGTGCTCAGCGTGCCCTGAGGGGCTGAATCTGCCAGTCGTCTCTGCAGGGCAACGCTTGTCCTGCGCCGCTCTGGATGCATCACGCTTCAGCTGCTGATGTGCTGCAACAGGGAGAAACACATGGTCACGGGCTGAGACGCCACACTCGCCGCCTCAGCTCAAGCTCCATCCTCAAAACCAAGAGCCTCGAGGCGAATGAAGGCCTGGCAGCGCTGCACAGGCTGTTTGACTAAGCAGCTGTTGAATTCTACAGTCCCATCAACAGAAACTGGGAAAAATAGGCTTTTTTCCTCCCCCAACTGTAAAATGCACTATTGATCTCTCAGAGCACAAAACCTCAGATCTGCTAATCAGGATGTGTCAACTGCTCAGGTAAAAATAAAAGGTGACAGTAACCTTATTCTGCCTGAGATTTTTTTAACCAGAGCACAAACAGTAAATATATAAGGAAATGTCCACATTTATTGAACCATCCACAGTAGAAATAAGATTATGAGTCTGAGTCTGTTTGCACCAAGGCGCGAAACAATCAAGCTGTATTTGAGAGGAAACAATACTATTTTACAATTTTGTTTATCTAAACAATTTTAATGACCCTAACCCTGTATTTTCACTCCTGCTGTAAGACTATGGAGTGGCCACTCAATGACACGAACTCTGATGGCAGCAACTCAATGCATTCAGGCATGTAGACAGGATCCTGACCTGCTGAAGTTCGAACTCAGCATCATAATGGGGAGGAAAGGGTGGTGTGAGTGTTTTAGAAACTGCTGATCTACTGGGATTAGAAAGGTAGATTCCTCTGTTGGGTCAATATGGACCAAAGTTGTTTCCAGCACCTTTGTGAGTCAATGTCACGAAGAATTGAGGCAGTTTTAAAGGCAAATAGGGTCCAACACAGTTCTAGCTGTTGTATCCCCTCAATAGGGAGAAAATGTAGATGAAAATGGCTTTGGTGATTGATTTGATTTGATTGTGTTGTTTTAACCCAACAAGGCAGAAAGATTTTAATAGCATTTAGGCTGTGTTCATCTGAAATGGGTGTTTGTTTATGCAGAACCTTATACAGAGGACTATTTGGATTATTTCTGGCGAGATTTTATTAATAACAATTAATATATAATTTTTTTTAAAGCCAGTGTGCTGGTGGATAAGTGATGCCACATAAAGCTGTCTCTTCATACAGTGCTCCTGTCAGGTCAAACTTTGCATGTGCTATTGCTCAGGCTAACACAGCAGCAGCACCTTATTTATGACAAACACAGCACAGTTTTACGTTACAGCTCCCAAAACGCAACACCGGTTTTCATTGCGGTCGGTTTTATGCTCCTCGTCTGTTCAAACACTGGTGTGTAACAACCCCTCGGATGGTTAGCATGCTGTTAGCCTCTGACACATCACAGCAGGTGCAAAACAACTTACTTGAATTCCTCTGAAATGAACCGCTTGTTTTTACAAAGACGTGCCGTTCCGATTAATGTACGAAAATACAGATATTTGTTTTTCATAATGCCCTTCAGAAGAGCGCTTTACTACAGTTCACTCCCACCACTACAGTTCCCACATAATCCACCGGCGTCCAAACCTTTCACCCCGGCCAAGACTTACAGCTGAAAGACTTGAAAATAGCGCCGCCTATCGCTGGAGGACTAACACAGCTGCTGTTACCGTTGCTGACACAAGCGGGTGGTTTAAGTTTATGATAGGTTATTATTATATAGTTATTTAGTTAAGGGGTAAAACCTTAACTAAATACAGCGGACACACGTGAATATTATACATACATACATACATATGTACAGCAAGAGGCAAAAACAAAGACAAAAGTGTGACAAAGACAATGTTAAAAGGTTTTAACCAGTTTATTGAAATAAAAACAAACACTATGACCAGACACATCATCTCAGCTTCTTTTTTTCCTCAAATAACCGAATACTACAACATATTCAACATGATCATGTATCAGTTACATCATCTATAATGTCTTGATATCAAGGCAGCTTTATCAGAAATGGTAAACAAAGTGGTTACTCTGAATATTATTGCTCACTGCTGGCACTTTGTGTAAAAGAAAGTGTCCTTCTATCTATGTTATAAAATCGATGGCGGTGAAATGTAGACTGATATAGCTAATGATTTGCATTCCGGTTATCATGAAACTTAGTAAAAGTCTAGAGTTTTTCCAGTTGCCCAGTAGAGGGCAGTGTAACAAAACTTATCTTTACCAAAGCTTTGCAATCAACTTCACTGGTGGCAAAGAAGAAACTCTACTACCACATGATCCTCAGACATTCATCTTACCAGTTTTAGCCACTACTACACATTATTTTCACTAACTGTACTAAACATAGATTCATTTAATATCAAACTATTTGTTGTTCATTAAATTATCCCAACATGGTAAACCTGGTATCCTTAACTACCACTTAATAATTACACATCTTTTGTAAATATCTGAACACCCTTCGTCCATTTCCATTACAGTTTTCAATGACTTAAAGACAGGAGTGCATTATATTTCCATTATGATCCTTTCCTGGAGAATTAAAGTTTTAGTTTCAATAAAAACAACTGTCAGACCAATCTATGAGCCCATCAGTAGGAGTAATTGCTCTTTTGCTCTCTACATGGACAAGTTACCTGCATGCAACCAAAGCTTGCTCAAAAACCACAACTGGACAACAAAACACAAACCAGAAAGCTTCTAGTACCAAAATTCTTGCCTCTCGCCTACAGAGTCTAAATATTCACATGTAATCTAGTTATAAAAGTTACTCCCAAACTGATATCCACCAACAATCCCTCGGATTTTCCTTTACATCATGATTTCCACTAACCTTGATAATGTCACTATAATATAATCAAAATAACAATCACAGCTATAACTTTTTGACAAATAAAAATAAACTGATGTATAAAATAATGGATTGCCTCTTTAGTGGCTTATAAACATGCGTTATAGTTACGCACTTGTGCTGGTTAGATGGATAACAGGCGCAAAAACAGTCGTCACATCTGGAAGTACTGAACTCATCAAACCAGAGTGATCAGTAAGGACTTTGGCACATAAGCCCCCTAGTGGCACCTGAAGATTCTTCATGAACAAAAGGAAAATTTCACAAGAATTATTGATCGAGGGATCCTTAGTGTACTCTTGCAAATGCTGGCTCTTTTAGAGAGACGTGTCAGTCACGTGATCTGATGGAAGAATGTACACCACAGAGAAACAGTGTGCACACTTTTCCCCCTCTTTCAAAATATACTGATAGACTCTTGTGGGCACAGATTAATTACTGGCAGCATCTACAGTCAGCTGCTTGTACAGCTGTGTAATCTAAGCCCACTAACTGGTGGACATGTGGGTCATTGGTCTCAAACACTGTAATAAACACAAATACATGAAGACAGCCTTAAAGCGTCAGACTTCAGATCGGTAAATAAAAACTGAATACTAACAACATGACACAGTGCTGCTTGAAAGGAAACCGTACGCCCTGGTTCAGTTACAGTCAGAATCTTCACAGTCTGGTCCCACACAGTCTGTCTTACAGCTCTGTTTTGCTGGCTCGGTGGACTATCTGGTTGTAGCTGTTCTTTCTTTGGGGTTTGTAGGTGAGAAGCTGGCTGAACTCGGTCAGAAGTCTTTCCCAGTAGCAGGAAACATCTTCCATTCGCAGGTGGTTGAGGATGAACTCCTTCCCCCTGTAGAGAGGTTGGGAAGCAGAAAAGTCACGTGATGCTGGGAGAAGGTTATCGCAGCTACTCTTGCTCAATCATGAAGTTCTGTTCTCTCACCTTGTAGCTATTTCCTGCGCGATGGCATCGTTCTCTTTAACAAACTGGAGCAGCTCCCTGAGGACACAGAGTGCAGACACATTTATATTTGCAAATTCTTCCTTACTTGGCAAATAGTACTCTTGGGCGTGCATAGAATAGAGATATTTCAAAATAAAACCTGAAATAAAGTAACAAATAAAGTTTGAGAGCTCACTTTAAAATCCCCATCCAGCCTTCTTGTCAAGCTCTCTGGTTTGCTACAAGCTATTAGTTGTTTCACCAGCTTGTTGGCATTTATCCAAATGCTTTGGCTTGAAATATACAGTCAGCGTATCACTATATGTTCAAGGATGCAATTAAAATGTGTAAATTTGCACATTTACCTATATAACAAATCATTATTGTGTGTCATCAGGTTTAAATTGTCAAAGCTGTTTGTAAATACATTCCTTTGTTCTATAAAAGGAATATAAAAGGCCTCACATTTTTAAATTGGACAACAGACAGAAGGCTACACACACACTGTATAAAGACTCTTTTTTTCCTCCATCCACAAACACAAGCTGCCGTCTTCTTTTCTAAACCAAAGGGACATCTTAACAAATACATTTAAACAACAAAACTAACGATGCACACACAGACTTCATCCACACGTCTGAGGACTAGAGATGTCACGATACCACTTTATGTCCGATACCGATATCATAAATTTGGATATCTGCCGATACCGATATGAATCCGATATAGTGTATTTTTAATCAATAAAAC